AGCTTTTCGAGATGAGAACAACGCGATGTCGCCGAGGTCTCTACGATTTTTTTTCGCAGAGTTATGATCATTTAAACATTGAGATTTCGCAGTAGCGGAGGGCCCACGACGAGGACGTGAGAAAGACTTTCCGCGGACACGTGGATAAAATTGCATGTAGGAAGCATGTGGGGTGTGCATGCTTGCGCAGTAATTAACGGCTCCAAACCACCTCTGCTGTGTGCGTGCGTGCGTGCGGCGCGCGCCGCGCGCGTGTGTGTATGTGTGTATGTGTGTGCAAGACCGAGGATGTAGTATGTAATTAACTAAGGCAAGTATAGGAAGGTTTATATCAATTGTTCAAAATGTGCACCGTCAACTGTTTGACAACAGGCTATCTGATGATAAAAAGATGAAACGGCATTTTGAATGTAATTATGAGGATAAGAGCAGCTTCCTGAAGAATCGATTTTGTAATTCATCCAGATTTTGTGGTTTCGTTTTGTAAACTCTTTCTTTAAATAACCCAAACTTCGAGGAAGAACCTAGAAACGAAAAACTGAGAGCACATGTGCTATCGATAAATGGCACTGCTACGGTTTGGAATAATTCATGCACACGCAACACCCACCCACCCACCCACCCACCCACACATACACCCACACACACGCGCCGCGCGCACGCACGCACGCACGCACACACACGCACACAGCAGAGGTGGTTTGGAGTCGTTAATTACTGCCAAGCACGCACACCCCATGCCTTCCTACATGCAATTTTATCACACGTATCCGCGGAAAGTCTTTCTCACGTCCTCGTCGTGGGCCCTCCGCTACTGCGAAATCTCAATGTTTAAAATATATCATAACTCTGCGAAAAAAATCGTAGAGACCTCGGCGACATCGCGTTGTTCTCATCTCGAAAAGCTCTTTCAAAACGAACCTCACTCGACCCTACATTCCATTTAAAATTTTCTCGCCCTCCCTCCCCCCCGCCCCCCGGGGGTGTCAAAATGGGCGTTTTTGGTGTTATGTGATAGATTGTGTGATACCATTGTAACCTTGTAAATTTCAATCCGATATCTCAAACCGTTCAGAAGTTATTTAGGTGTCCCGGTACTTTTTCCTCACCCTGTTATATATATTATATATATATATATATATATATATATATATAAGTTAGGACACCTTATATGTATAAGTATGTACAGAGTGTCTATAAAGTTCTTCTATTTCCTATATTTTAGAAGCGGTTCAAAATTACAAAAATCGTGAAATATATTCATTTTTTCAAAGGGCTCCCGTGGAATTGTTAGTTTCACATCGGGCGTCTCCTTTGGTGATGGGATCGAGGATCGCTCCCCGGCTTGCCGGAGGGTATCAGGGAAATAAAATACCCGGGTGGACCAAAACTAACAGTTAAATCATGACAATGGAGAAAACGCAACCGGATTACCCTAGATGGTAATTCGGCGATTGACCCGGGCAATCCACCCTCATTAGAGGCGAGATCCATGGATTTTGGGGGTGGCCACTGTTGGAACTGTTGTTTTTTAATAATAAACACTACAAATGTAGTAGTTATTGGAAAAATTGAATCAAAAACTCAGAAAGAAATGTATTTATGGAAAGCCTGAAAACAGGCGGAAGACAGAATAAGACAGCTCAAAAAAATTGTAAAAGATTTACGAAAAGAGGAAGTCTCCAAACAAGCAAGGTATGAGACAAACGAAGAACTGGAGAGGGAAACTGGCTGGAGTGTAAATAGAATAACCAGAAAAAAACGAAAGGCTAATTCATCGCTGGAATCTTTCCCTTTACGGACGAAACTATAGATAAAAATAACAATGATAAAACAAGTATGCTTCCGCCAATTTTTGTGAGCGACGTTAAAAACTTTAATATATTCAAAGAAATATTACTCCAAAGTGCCAACAATGATATTAACTTTAAAACAATGGCTAACAATGAAATTAAAATAAATACGACTGACAACGACGACTTTCGCGCCACTATTCATCTCCTCAGAAATGCTAAATCACAGGAGAACCATAAACTGCATAATATAGATTATCATACATATGTAAACAATCAAAACTTGATAAAATCATAAGAAGAGGTCTACATCCTTCGACTAATATCACAGATATTAAAGAAGCTAGCCAAAATAGGACAGGAGGCTATTCGCATATCAAACATTATAATCAAAAAGAAAATTAATGCGACACTGACTAAAGTCGCGTCCATATTCTACATAGATTTGATCACTAAGACAAATAACAAAGATATCTATCTCAACGGGTTAGAATTCAAAGGAATACCGCAGCTCATAATAACATTACCATTCTGTCAAAATCATCCGATAAAATAGTCAGTGAGAGCTCTGATCAAATTGTAACCAAATACTCCAAACAGCTCCTAGTCTGGAGCTATGAAACCGACTATATAGGACATCTGAAATTTACTCTATGATATACAGCAAAAATTCGCAGCCATTGATCGCAGACTGGATATAATAGACAAAAATAACATCCACATATCACAAACTTCCGTCAAAGGGAAGAAAAAGAAATAATAGGAACATCATCTAGAATAGTAATATGGAACACTAATGGCCTGACGTTAGAGAGCAGTAGAGAGCTTGAAACGTTCCTAGTGTACAATAATATTGACATCGCATACTACCTAAGTGGATAAAGCTCATGCTGGCTCAGAGATCATCAGAGATCATTATAAAGAATAAAGTCAAATATCATCTACAGGATGAAATTCGGAAAGAATACATCCAAGTTACTGCTATAATGATACAACAACGTAGACCTTATTTTAGCGGAGTATTTTAGCTGCGTATTGTCCACATCACAATATAAAAAATGACCAGTTCTCTGAAGTGCTGAATAGTCTTGGGCCATACTTCATACTCGGGGGGCGACTTCAACGCGAAACATATGACATGAGGGTCTTGTTTGATTACGCTCGAAGGTGGAGAGTTGTTTAACGCAATAAGTGCTTGCGGGTGCAATCTCATTTCATCGCGCAAACCAACTTACTGGCCTACAGACAAAGATAAGATATCTGATCTTATTGATTTTTATATATCAAAAGGTATCTCTGCCAATTACCTAGATGTAAAACACGTGGATGACCTTTCATCAGAGAAATCATGTATCCAAGTTGATGACCAGTAATATGACAACAGTATATAAGTATATGACAACAGTAACTATCAATATATGACAACAGTGATACGTAGACGAAGAAAATATGCACTCACTATGGTACTATAATAAACACACAGACTGGGGCAAATTCAGAACGGTACTGGACAGATTGATTGATCTGAAGGTTAGACTCAAAACCATTGAAGAATTAGAAGCACAAACTCAAAATCTAGTGAATGTAATTCATAAGGTAGCAAAAAATTCAACATCAGTCTCCAAAGATGTCTTAACTCAAGCATTCTGTTACCCAATCAAGATAAGAGAATTGATCAAAAAAAAGGAGGAAAGCACGACGCATCTGGCACCAAGACTATCGGCTGACAAAAACTCATTTAATCGAATCAGCAATCAGCTAAATCGCCTAATAAAAGATACAAACAAGAAAAACTTCACTGCACAGGGCCGGCGGAAAACGTGGTGTAGGTGAGGGTAAACACCACTCGGAAAATTCCCGTGTGGTGAATTCAACCGTCGGCGAATTGATATTGGCGAGAGAAACTCAGCTATATTTTGTTCATTTTTGTACAGCGCGCTGGCAATCCAGCCAATCAGAATACGACGAGTTGGCGAGTCTCTTTTTATAGGGTCTCACATCGCTGCATGTAGGCTACGGTCAAACGGATGCTACAGATGCTTCGAAGCGTTTGATCGACCAATCAGAATAAAGAAATTTACATTCTTTTTATTTTGATTGGTCGATGAAACGCTTCCGAAGCATCTGCAGCATCCGGTTGACCGTAGCCGTAGTAGCATGTGGAGAGGATGCGCATAAGGCTGGTTCTACATTAGTCGCAAGACGATCGCAAACGTCTTGCGACAGCCAATCAAAAGCGTCAATTTTAAAATTGATGCTTCCGATTGGATGTCGCAAGACGCTTGCGATCGCCTTGCGACTAATGTAGAACCAGCCTAATGCGTATAAAATCAGGACCGTTATCTAGAATATGGCGCCTAATGCGTATTATACGTGTCAAGTGGCAGTCAAGATTCTTGGTCGAGCGGTCACGCGAGGTGAATTCACAGTTATCGATAGCTTGTTTCGGGAGTATTAGTCACATTGAGATCACGTGCGCGATTTGTAACGCTTGAATTCGTGACTTCATGTTCAATTCGTGTGTGAAAGTGTTGTCAGTGTAAACTCGCTTTCTTCGACTTAATCTCGAGAAGTAAGCAAATTTTTTTCTTACTATTTAATTATAATATTGCTACGTATTAAGAAATAAATATTTTATATATGTTGTTTGTTCGACAGCGATAATACGAGGTCGTGCCGTTTCAAGGACAACACGTTTGCTTACACGAGGTTATATTTGCACATACACACGTGTATAATTCGTGTGTGAAAGTATTGTCAGTGTGTAGACATAGGTCTCGATATCCAGATAGTATACAGATCAGTGGGGTATCCGAACGCAGCCTTACAAGTCACGTAGCATCACGTAGTCACGTGACAAGCAATACAATAGTGAAGCGAACAAAACCGGTGTTTGAGATGTCGAGAGAATGGATAAGTTCGTCATCAAAGTGAGACATCAAAGCAAGAGAGACAACGAAGAAAGCACCGCCAATGCTCTTCGCCCTATTCAGCTAAGCGAACGCAATCGATGTGGAAGCGACGTGGAATCAATCTTAACCTCAAACAGTGACGAAGATCTAAATGTTAAATGTAGAAGAGTTGATGAAAATCAAGAAAATTGTGCAAATGTGACTCGAAATCGTAAGTAATTGCATATTGCATAAAATAAAAAATAATGCAAACAAAAACAATGCATTCAAAATAATGCATACAAAAATATTATTATCAATATTATTATACAGTATCAGTGTTATTTCCACGGTGGCAGAAGGCAAATCCTTGGCTTGAATTTAATCCAAATAAGAAAGCAATTTGCACTATTTGTACTGAAGCGTCGAAGAAAAAATTAATTTTGTCTTACGATTCACGCGCTCTGAAGTCAAAGGAAGCCTGAGTCGACACAGGATTTAACACCTGGCATAACGCTACGTCCAGAATCAAGAAACATTCAACAAGTTCATTACACATAGACAGTACTGAAGCTCTAGCAAAACTGAAGACAGTAAACATTATTCAACGTTTATCAAGTGCAACAGAAAAGCAAATGATGAATCACCGGACAGCACTGCGAAAAATTTTCAGTACCTTAAAAGTATTAGCAAAACAAGGGCTGCCCTTGCGTGGCATCAATAACGATGAAAATTCGAACTTTATACAAATATTAAAAGCACGCGCAGAAGATGTATCGGAACTGGAATCGTGGCTGAAACGGAATGGCCACAAATGGTTACATCATGATGTGCAAAACGAAATATTAGAACTCATGGTTGCAAAAGTTATGTCAGAAAATCTTGCGGAAATAAGACAAGCAGAATTCTGTGCGTTACTTTTGGACGAAACTTCTGACTTGTCGAAGATCGAACAGATATCGATATGTTTGAGAATTGTTTCACAAAATCTTGTGTCGTCAGAATTTTTTCTCGGATTTTACTCCACGTCTTCCACGAAGGCCGAAACTCTATTCCAAATCGTCCAAGATGTTTTTCTTCGCTTCAATTTGCCACTTACAAAACTTAGAGGCCAATGTTACGACGGAGCAGCGAATGTTTCGGGAAAAATAACTGGTTTGCAAACTCGACTCAGGGAAATTGAACCTCGTGCTTTATATGTACATTGCAATGCCCATAACCTGAATCTTGTGGTCCAGGATGCCATGGAAGGAGTTCCAGCTACAAGAAAATTCATAGGAGTAGTAAAAGATATGATCAATTTTGTAAAAGATTCACCGAAACGTATCTCGCAATTTCAACAACTCCAGTCAGAAAGAGAATCAGAATCAGAAAGTTCCACGAATAAAAACTTTGCCCTCGCCGCCTACTGCCCAACCAGGTATTTTGATCGCATAATTTCAGTTTTATACAGACAGAATTTTCAGCAGTTTCAGCTCATGTATTTGCGAATGTATGTTACAGGTGGGTCATGCGAATAAGTTCTCTGAAAACAGTCCGAGCCAACTACGAATCACTGATGAAATTTTTCATGGAGCGGATTACAGATTGTGAAGTCGACAGCATCGTCTCGGCCAAAGCATCAGGATATTTTGAACATATGAGAACTTTTGAGTTTTTCTTTTTTTTAACAATGATAATTGAATTACTTGATCGGATAGAAATTTTGAATAAAGACCTTCAGAACTCGGAACTAAGCGTGAATGACTCGTATCGAAAAATCGAGGGAGTAATGTATTATATAAATGTATCTCGCGATTCCAAATTCGAAATAATTTGGCAGAAAAGCAATGACGGAGTAAAAGAATTAGATATTGATGAACCACAGCTACCGCGTCAACGGAAAATTCCAAAGCGATTAGATACGAGCAATACCGAGAATCTTGTTTTTAAAACTCCGAAAGAAATGTACCGCAAAATATATTTTGAAATTTACGACCGAGTTTTGACATCTTTAAACAATCGTTTTGATACGGAAGCAGCTCGATTTCTCAAATCTTTAGAAGCCTTTGCCGTTGGCGAATCTACAAATGTTACAGAAATTATCAATTTTTATGGAGACGACTTTGAAAAAGATCGACTTATCAGCGATAGGGATATGCTTTTGAATCTGACGAGCAGAAGTAATGTTAAAGTATCAAATTTAAGGGAAATTGTTAATTTTTTACGCAAAAACGAATGGAGTATGGGGCTCATTCCCGACTATGTCAAATTTATAAAATTGCTAATGACAATCCCGGGTTCGTCATGCACCAATGAAAGAAGTTTTTCTGTTCTTCGGCGATTAAAAAATTATCTGAGAACAACAATGTTGCAAGATCGACTTAACCATGTAGCAATATTACATATATACAACGACATAACTGATAAACTCGATATTGAAATTTTAATGGACGAATTTATAGCTCGAAATGTAAAACGTACAACGGTATTTGCATTGTCCAAAAAATAAATAAACTGTTTAACTGTATTTCTGCTATTGAAAAATTTAAAATTTTTGGAGGGACCTCCCCCCCGGTCAACAATCCTGGTCACCACTCGGGCTGTACTTGTTCCGCCAGCCCTGTCACTGCATATTTAGAAAATCTTTTTGCTAATGCAGACTTGAACTATTTTCATTGGAAGGCAACTGTTACGTCCCCCGCGCTAAAAATTTTACCCACTGCAGATAAATACGACTAATTAATGTACCGATACCAGATCTCGACCACACCGTCTTAAGCTAAAACGTAATGTTACCGACCAATCCTCAAGCTAGTTCATGAAAACGCCGAGAGATGGCCAAGACGCCACCCCCACCACCGGAAAACACCCCCACGAGTTCAACCCTTTCCATCCCTGACCCGCACAAACCAAGGGACCTCGAGTCAGTCCCAAAAATCAGCACTTCTATCTCGAGCGCCGAGCGAGCCACTTCTCTTCCAGAAGTGCTCCTCAGACCCGCGATACTATTTCCACTACATTACCATTCCGATCATGTTTCTATTTCCGACTTCGTTACCATTTCCGACAATTCATTGTGATTTTACTATTTCTCGATTGCGATACTACTACCGTTTATACTATTATATCCAGCGTCGATAGCTCTCGAACCGAAGCGACACTTGTAACACTACCATCGTAAGTAAATAAAATTGTAAAACATATACATACATATATCGATGTTCATTAAATACAACTAGCCCCTTGTTCGTATCTCCTTAAGATTCGGAGTAAACCTTACAACATTTTCAATAACCCTGGTTTCGACCATCAGAGATTAGTGGTAACACGGTGCTTACTCTCAGCACGGTTATTCGCTGCCTCTTAAATCCGCTGTTTGGTGCTAATACCCAGCACATCCAGCACTCCTTCCCTTGAGGGAACTTCGGTGCGAACAATCGCACGCTGTTCCCGAAATCCGTCACAATCCTATGGTCGAACCCAGCGCAATTATATTAATATAATCTTTTCTGTAGATGCCCAAAGCAAGGAGAGGCGGACACCTATACCACGCGCGCAAATTGTACTTTAATTATAAATACGACCCTGTTACCCAAGAGGACACAGCGACTTGTTGGGAACAGAAAGAATAGGTTTTGACCCTGAATACGAAGCATACTTCGATTCGCGACCATAAAAGAACCTAAGACCCTAAGGAAAGACATCAGAATTAAGACGATAGAATATTTTCCGTGGCCGCGTGAACTGAAGATAATAGATACCAGCCCGTTTCTACCGCCCTTGGAATACGCAGCAGGAAACCCAAGGAGAACCCGGTATCTCCAACTTCGCGCGGAAGTATTGCATACCGCGTACGGGGCTAGTACCCCCGAACATTGGGGAACTGCGGATCAAGCTATTATACTAGAATAACTTTCACATAACGAATTCTGCACTCAACACGCTCAAACAGGAAGACCGGAAACAAAAGGGGACCACTCGATTTCATTTTTATTGCTCCCAGACGAGGCAACCCTTTTTTTATTGCCCCTAAGACCTCCGCTACCTGACCCCAAGTTTTCCCTCGTCTAGCAAGGAATCAAAGAAATTATTTTCGAATAATATCAGTCCTACAAGTGTTTAATCTTCCTTCAATCTTGTAACTTATTAATTATAAATAAATTTATAAAACTATAATCTCGTCTTTACTAAATTAGACTATATCCACATGAATCCCGAAACCGTCCGCGACGAAGTACGCCGAAGGGTTCGAAACATCCGTTGCACATACATCTCCGGATTCGCACACCGAACCCATCTAATCCCTTATTGCACTTCTTGCTTCATAACCTCGGATAATATCATTAAGGACCCGTACGCGGATTTCAACGTTCACCTTGCTATAGACAGTACACCTACAGTGGCGTCCATTGCACGGCTTGTTCTCGTAACTTAGCAAATTTCTTTTCCTTCGATTGCGACAAATGTACATCGGCCTATATTAACTTTATAATAGATTTAAGACGGCAAGGTGTAAACTATTATTCCCTACCCGATCCGATTAAGGTCTTCGTGGACGGCACAATCCCCGCCAGCTTTACCGTGCGAGATTTTCCATAATCGGCAAACGATCGGTAAGATTCTCGAATCAACAACCACCATCAGTCGGTAGTTCTAGTAACATCGCGACTATCGGTAACTAGCCGACAGGGAAATTTTTTCGTGCCCATTCGGTCCATCCCGCAGGTAGAAATCCATCGTCCAGATACCCTAGCCGTTGGGTAATCCCTAGGAGTCGAGCTCCTAAAATAACGGCACTGTCCGGCGCATAGTCCGAGTACTCGAAAGAGCCGCGACGTAACACAACACAGAAATTCAAATGTCAGAATCCTTCCAATAAAAGATGAACATGACAAATGGATGTGTTCTGATCAAGATAAGACAGATTTTTTGCTCGTCATTTGTATAGAGTGTTTCAAATGCACGATACCCAGTTGAATGTTGTATAAAAGCACACAATTGTGATGCTAAACTCAAGTTTGTTACGCTACTGGAGGTAGCGAAGGCAATAGACACACATATCAATCAAGAAAAACTCCTGGTGCTGATGAAATCTCTAACAAAATACTCAAAGAACTATCTAGAAAAAGAATTGTGCTTTTTACCTATATTTTCAATGCGTATATACGTCTCGAGTATGTTCCTGACTGTTTGAAAATAGCTCAGATAATTATGATCAAGAAACCTGATAAACCTGAAGAGGTCACATCTTACAGACTTGTATCTCTACTATCCGCATTTTCCAAACTCTTCGAAAAATTGCTTCACAAACGTCTAAAGCCTCTAATCAACTTGCCTGATCATCAACTCGGTTTCCGAAATCAGCACTCTAGATCAAGTATACTGAATAACGATGATCATTGAAAGATTCGAAGACAGGAAATACTGCTTTGCTGTTCCGCAGACCTTCGACAAAGCACGAAGGACTCAAGTATATGCTGTGACGTGACGCTTTTTGAGCTCCGTCACGGTTTCCCTGCCGAGGAAAACAGCGTGCGCGGGGTCGTCTCTCGCGCCTGAGAGGAGACTACCGTTGGTTATTATTCAATTGTTTAGCCCTATTTTTTTAGCGAAATTTAAGACCCGCGATTCGAATACGGCTACCGTGCGTGCGTGCAAGATCGACAAGTTGTAAAGGAAGCTACCGCTAGACATCGAGGATACCGAAGATACTGAGGATACCGAGGATACCGAGGATACCACAGGAATAAGGTCAAGTAGTAAGATCCCGCGCCACCGCGGTGTGTTATAATGTAATTGGAAGTTGAATCTGCATTATTTCAGATTGTAAAAGAAACGGCAGCAAATACAGACAACGGTGATGAAGGCAACTTTCCAGGCAGCTGACTGGAAAAACAGAAATCTCGGAAGGAGACGCGGAGACGGCCTGGCCAGCCGACCACGTCCCCGAGGATCGGCATCACGAATTACCGTCGTTCACAAGTACTGGGCCCCTGCGTAAGGGCAACGCCGTACAACAGCAGCAATGTTCGAGGGGGCGGAGAATCAACCCCGTTTCCCCGAAATCGACAAGATGCGCGGAAGATCGGCGCGGGATTCGAGGGCCTTACGAGCACAGACGAAGATCGTCACTGTATGGTGAGCTAGTGACCAGTGCACAGCAACTAGAATCCGGAAGAGACAACCCTGAGGGAGCCGCCACCAACACTAATTGTAAGCCGTCGCACAGGTAGCCGACTAGAAAAATTACTCCGGGATCAGCTGGTGTCATCGTATCGAGATACCGTCACCGGGCGGCTATCGTACCGTAAAGAAAAATTACCGAGAAGTTGAAAACTTGTACCGTAATTATCGGACGCCAGCTGTCACCGGGGTCGCGGAATTGTCCCTCTCAGGGGTGTTCGTACCGACAGTCCGTAGTATTATGTATCGTTTCCGTACCGTTTAGAATTGTATCGTTTCTGTTAACATTTTTCTTGTATCGATACTTCGAGCGTGACGCGGCGATTTTTGATCGAGTATATCGCATACCGGAAGGCGGGATTTGAGCGAGTAATTTCTTCGCGAGCGTGTGTTACCGAGATTAAGAGAACGGCTCTGCAAGAATATTGTCCTGCGCGAAATCTCCGCCGAAAAGTATTTAACGTACCGCTTGTTCGAAATTTCCGTTACGCGGATGTTGTGATATTGTTAACGAAACCAAAAGGTCGTGCTGCGACCGTTACATCGGGTAAACAATTTCCGTCTACCTCCTTGAAACTACCGTTAAAGAAAGCTTTTGTTTTTCATCAAGACTTTGTCGAAAATCACCGTTAATTGCCGTAAGAAAAGGTTCGATTCGAGTTATATCGAACTTTATTAAAATCCGTATATCGTCTATTTCGGGTTAAAACTCCGTTTATTTCGTCGTTATCTATTGTTCTTTACCGTTAATTGTAGTTGAGCATAGAAGTTACCGTCACCATTGTGTGAAAATTCAGGTTCGATTTATATCGATATTGAGCACGAGGCTCGCGCCTCCAGGAGTGTTCGTAAACCATCCGCGTATAATCGTCTGTTCGTAAAATCCCCGTACACTGGTTACCGTTAATTACGTGGATTACCGCCAATAAACTAATTGAGAATTATACCGAAATTTGTTAGCGAGACGAACGTCTCGGCGTACGAGCCGAAACAGACGTAATTCGTTCTCGAGTTTGGTAGAGATTTCGCCGCTAAGGTTCACGGCCTTCGATTACCGTCATTACTGAAAGGCGAAAACTATTTTAATATCGTTTCTTTTTTTTTCTTTTCTTTTATTGCCGACTCAGAGTCAATATTTCAAGTAGCCTCTCTGAGAATATTGTATCTGACCTTCGCATCAGCCGTTATAACCAGTGTTGTGAGACGGGCCGGGTTTTTTCGCGCATGCGTGGCTATGTTGACTGTTAGGTTAGTAGTTACAGGTACGTATCTAGTATCTGCAGAAGGTTAGTGCGACGTGAATGCTGAAAGTTTTGGCGGGCTTAA